GTACAAATGTAAGTACACTTAGAATGCAAAATATTTTGAAAATACATGTTGGGTACCAAATTTTCATTTAAGTGTATAGAGCTCTACATATATGATGCATTACAGAATACATAAAATAAAATAAAAGTTCTGTTGAGAACATATAAGATGTCACATGAAATTTTTCAACGGGCAATAGTCAAGCAGTTTTTAAAAGTACTACTTTCAATCGCTTCCATTGCACAGCAAAGGGAAATCTTTATAACTTTTTTCTAATGCTGTTGTATTTTTTTCATTCAGATAAAAATTTATGGATTTAAATAAAAGAACCTTATCTATTTCTTAAACATGAAATCCTACTTTTTTAAAAAAAGTACTAGACAACTTTACTGCTTATTCCCATCATTTATGGTTTGGTCCAAATTTTACCAAACAGAATTGTTGAAATTTTCACAGTGGTAAAATATATACAAAATGCTTGATACTGTTTTATTCTCTAAGGTAAAAATTTGTACTAAAATTATCATATGTCATCTATAGTTTTGACCAATCAAATATAAATATTAGACTTTTATATTATTAAAAGGACGGGTCCCAAGCGAATTTGAAAAAAATATACCCCCTCTTCTTCGAAGGAGAAAGAGTGAGATTAATGGATGAATACCCGTCGTACAAATTTTCAATATGTTATTTTGGCTAAAATATGACAAATAAATAGGTATTATCAATGCTGATTTCTTCTCAAGTGGAATATTTTTTAAAAGAGCTGTGCAATAAATATCAGTAACAAGAAGCACAAAGCAGCAGTAAAAAATTATCAACTTTCCAAGTTTTTATAACAACGCCGGATATGGGCGGGAAAACATAATTTACAATAAATGTTCCAGTTAATTAAAGATTATATTTCAAGATGTAGGATCAGAGATTTATGCATTCATAAAGGTTTCGTGTTGCTATAATCATTAAACTTAAATTTCGGTACTTCAACCATTTGACAAATGTCAATCTCAGTTAATAATTATAATAAACACATTCTTATAAGATTTCTTTTATAAACCGTTTAAAATCAAATAAAAAGAACACGACACGATTATTAAATAAATCGAATGTTTCTGCAAAATCTTTTCAAAATATTAGCAAATTCCTTTATATATTAACAATGTATTGACTAGTGAGTCATTGAATATGATGTGGTATTCACCGGTAAATGTCATATTGACCGAGGATAGCAGATACAATACTGTGAACTTATTTTGATGATTAAGTGGTAGACTTTTTTCAAAAAAAGATTTTAGAATTTGCAAAATACATTCTGACATCAATAGGGAACATTTCTTTAATTTGTGAAAGTACCTTACTTTAAGAACAAATCTTTGAAAATAAAGGCTGCAGAAAGTGGGTTTGTTTTGTTTTTGGTTTGCTTGATTTTATGCCTTTTTCCTAAAAGTATTCAGTCATATACATGATATAGGCGGGGTAGTTTTCCTAACCATCGTTCTGGAGAGGTTAAATTAGGAAGGGGGGGGGGAGAGGGACCAGTTCAGACTCGAGGGGGAAGGAGGGGGAGAGGGAGGGGAGGGAGAGAAGGGAGGGGGGAGGGGAGGGGGAGGGAGGGGACTACATTCCTCCGTGCTAAACTACCAAAGCATCTCCCGGGGATCGAACCCACGCCAGAGAGGTAACTGGATTAGAAGTCATCGACTTTTACCCCTCGACCACGAGCAGGAGTCTCCTGCTAAAAGTGGGAGAGGTTACATGTATGGAGAGGTCAGTATGACATTTTGCCGTTGAATATCATATCATATTCAATGGACTTGTTTGTTTGGGTTTTAAGTCACACCGACACAGCATAGGTGATTTGGCGAAGTTCCAGCTTTACTGGTGGGGAAAGACCTCAGATGATTATTGTGCATTATTTCAGGCACAAACAGGCACCTGATTAGAACCACTGTCATTCGTTAGCTAGCTGGATAGCTTCCTCACATGAAAGATTCCAAAGTCCCTGTCGGGATTCGAACCCACAGTGTTTAGGGGCAAGTTGTTTGAAGTCAATTGATCATTAAATGTCAATAATTGTTTTAAATAACCAGCCTAAGATTAAAAACACACACAAAAAGTAAAGCTTAGTATAAAATAATAAAAAGTTATAAATGTACTTATCATTGCGTTGTTACTTTATCTATGATTAAGGAGTAAATAGATTTGAAAAATATGCCGTAAAGTACAAAATTTGTTATTGAATGAAAACTTAGACCATAAATACAGAATACATCTCATCATTGTACTCATGACATTTTCAATAACATATAAAACAAGAAAGTGTTTGTAAAACACGAAATGCCTCCAGCTCAAATTCTTGTCAGTAACAATATTTAAAATAAAAAATATTTATTTTATCCACTCAGTTAAGTGAGAGAAATTAATAAAAATATGTTAAACATGGTAATATAACCTGACTTTGTTTGTTTTAGTATAGATGGAACTTAAGATATTTCCAACTTGCTGTTTTCGATTGGCCAATTATTCATTTTCCAAGTGCTGAAAAGGGCAATGACTTGGTAACAAGAGTTCCGTGATGGCCCTGAAGTCGCTCACCTGTATATAGGCCCCCAGAGCGGGGCCAGTCTAAACCCCGGGGCTTTTATTTGAACAAACTTTGTAAACCCTCACTAGAAGATGTTTCATGCTTAGAATCTAAACTCAAGATATTAGGGTTTTTTCAAAGAAGATTTTTTTTAAAGTTTTTACTATATGCATATAGGGAAAATCAATGACACCCTGGGGCCGGGCCAATTTTGACCCCAGGGCTTTTATTTGAACAAACTTGGTAGACACCCATTAGAAGATGTTTCATGTAAAATATCTTAGCTCTAGCTCTTTTGGTTCTTTAAAAGAAGACTTTTTTTAAGTTTTTACTATATGCATATGGGGAAAATCAATGACCCCCGGGGCGGGGTCAATTTAGACCCCAGGTTTTTTTTAACAAAAATGATAGACACTCACTAGAAGATGTTTCATGCAAAATATCTTAGCTCTACCTCTTTGGGTTTTTTAAAAGAATATATTTTAAATATTTCTATCGGTTGCCATGGCAACCAGAGTTCTGCATGGAATTTAATTTTTTGAACAATTTTTAAAGGTGACAACCAAAGAAACATTATTGCGAAGTTTGGATGAAATTGGCTCAGCGGTTTATGAGGAGATGTCATTTAAATAAAAGTTTACAGACGGACGGACGCCGGACGAAAAGCGATCACAAAAGCTCACCCTGTCACTTTGTGACAGGTGAGCTAAAAATGGAAACCATAGTTATATTACTTGCTCAGATCATGTACATTGTGTTGGTAAGTAAGTATGTAAAGTATGAAGCCATTGGTATAGGTAGTACTTAAGAAAAATCCAACTTGCAGTTTTACGTTAACCTCTATGGATAGACGGTTCAATTACAAAATGCCCGAGGGCATAAAAAACAAATACGATTATACATAGCTAATATTCAAAGAGTTATTTGAGACATTATGATTATGTTTACTACATTTGTATAAAATCATAATATATTAAACTTTAATGAAGCCTTAAAATAGTAAAAATACACTTAGAAGAGTATCTAATCTATCTTTGGTTAAGTACTAGCTTAGCAGATCATGTTTCAGACTATTTAAACTCATAGCTATGGGTGTGATAATGTAATTTGAAATACAGAACAAAAAAAGGAAAGCAATTACTTATTTTCAGTGTAGCCATCACACTAGAGCATCCATATAAGACTCATGATACTTAGCCTTTACAAAAGTATTGTAAACAACTTTTCAATTGTACAGTATATTTACTATTAGTAAACAGTCCATGAGTAACTATGTACATAGTACATACATTTCTATTTATACATGATGTTAGTTAGGGCTTTGAAATCATAAAACAGAAAAAAATCAGTCTTTTAAACAATTCTCATGCGAGAACACACATGTCAATTTACCTACATCACTCAAAGTGTGAAAAGAAGCATTAAAGCTGCATGCCTCCAGATGAATGAAAATATTTCAATAAAATCAAACTTGAGAAACATGTACTAAGATTTTAGAAAAAAGTAAAATGATTTATGTTATTTGCGATTAATGTCTGATTTTTCAGTATTTACCTCGAGATCATGCCCCATATGTTCAAGAATTTTTTTATCTTTAGATGACATATCTAATGCAACAAATAGTGTTGAAATGCGATGACGCATTTTTTGTAGCATTTACAGGTATAGAAACACCAGATCTCTCGCAGACTTCCGCCACGGCTTGCCGACCAGAGCAGTGGGACTTTCCATTTTTTGTGGCAACAAGAAATGGATTATCTGATTTGATTCAAAAGGAGTCCATGTCTTCCCTTAGAATACTTATAGGATCCATAAGGTCTACTAGAATAAGCAGACACATATTTCCTTCCCTTGCCTTTTAGGTATGCCAGCTTGAACTGCCCAATCAAGTATTGCTCAGCTGGATCTGAAATGTGTGTAAATTGGTCTTCAGGTATCCGCGGCCCACTGCTGGCATCCTCCCACTCATTGAGTAACATGCCAAAAAACAATGTCAACTTTATAAAAACCAAATCTAACACTCCACGTGATTTTGTCACTACAGACAAAGAAGGAAAAAAACCGGTGTAAAACTGCCAAAACACACTAGTTAGGGAATACTTGTATATGCTGCTGTTATGTTTCCTCCCTTGATTATATAGTTTACCGAAATAATCTCTCACATACACTAACGCCACATATTTGATCCATATCAGTAAATTAATATTTTGACAAAACGGCGCCAATCTCTCAGCAGCGTAATGACGTCATCCTAAGTAAACTACTCATTCATAAACAAGCTGATGTTATTTCATATATACACGAATCATAAATGGGGCATTGATGTAAACACAAAACAACGTAAGTTTTATTGTTGAAAACTTGATAAAATAACGTCTTTTCGTATTTTTTTTGTTTAATGATTTCTATATCTTTGCAACAGTAGGGTGTGAAATTGAACAGCGTTATACGAAAATCGGCACAGGAAGTTATTTCCGCTTGAAAAAATAACATTAGTTATTTTCCTTATTTTATGGTATTAGAATCGAATAATATCAGTATTAGCGGTGTTTATCAGCTATTTAACAACGGTTTTGTCGTTTAGATGCAAAAAACATTGACCACTCAGGCCTACGGCCTTAGTGGTCAATCCATACGCATCAAAACTCCAAACCGCTGTTAAATAGCCGATAAACACCGCTAAGACTGATATTATTTCTTAACTCTAAACATTAAAATTGCTTATTTTTTCGTGTATAATTAAATGTTTCAGGTGCCTGAGATGTCGGCATTGTTCGAAGTAAGACACCTTGCCAGTGCCTGAGAATGTACATATTTTATTATTTTTTGTATCACATTTTCTTTAAATGTTCGGTTGTGGCGTTCTTACATTCTTCCGTTCATTGAACAATTTTGTTCGGATCTTAAGGTTTTGTACCTTCTCAGGCAATTGACCGAGGCATAGCAGAGACATACATGTGAACATTGTTTGTTGTTTACCTGAAACAGACAAGAATATTTATAACATAAAACTACACAATGGAGTATGTAACAAACTAATATACCGGAAATATACTGTTTTTCGTCATATGGCAATGAACAATAGCTTCATTACTTGAATTTTTCAACCTGGTAAGATGGTGCAGACAATGAATGAATATTAACTTTGATGAAGGGAAAGCATATTTTGTAAAAAAAAGAATAAATAAATAGTATTTTAATCTATATCGTTTTAGAACTAATCAACAGAAACCATCTTCAACTTTTGAAAATAATGTACGCAATGAGTAGGAAAATACATGTGCATGGTACATTGAGTACTGGGACAAAACACAGTCTTTATGATTCGAACATGTACTGTGAATGAAAATTGTCAACAAAACAAGAGCAATAGCCGCCAATTTGCAGCAGAGTGCAAATACATTTCAAGAAGAAATATTTTTGAAAAGCAAAAACCTGTCAATCAGGTATATTAATGACCTGGAAATTAGTATTTTTTCTCAGTTTTGGGAATTTTTAAGCTTGCCATTGGTCATTTTTTTCTAATGTGGAAAGTATTGTTTACTGGTACTTCACATTTTATTCATAACTATGCAATGAAAATTTATCTAAATCAAGAAGAGCATCTATGCAGTAGACAGATCAAAACACTGGTGATGAAAGTCAATCATATATTATTCAAACAAAAAAAGATAAAGGCATACTTATTTCAGAAATGGTCGAAAACCTGGAATCCTCTTCATCAACTGTCAGCTCATCAAATTCTGCATAAAAATATACTATTCAATAAATATGTATCGAACAAAATTGTCACCAGGTGTTAAATTACTGTAAGAAGCAGAGTTTTATTAACAAGGATAGGAATAAGAATCTCATCAACTGTATCATGTGCTAAAGCATTTCATAACACTTCCAACATATTAACTTTAAGGCTGAAAAAATCAGTTAAGACAATTAGACATCAAATTTAGAGATATGTATGCATGTATTCATCTTATCAAGGTTAACATTTGCTAAAACATTTGAAATTCCTAAAAATAATTCTGGACAACATAAATTTGATTGGCAATACAGACAAATAGAGTCCTAAATAGCACCCGATCACAACCACACACAATTATGTGCTGTATGAACAATCACATTAAAAGACTAGTTGTTTTTTTTACTCGTTTTTACTCGTCGCACTTCGTGTTTTTTAATAACTGAACCATGCAAAACCAATAATTGTACCTGAATCTGTGTCATTTTCATCACTATTGGGAACGAAAACATTTAACCCAAATGGATCTGAATCATCCGAATCTGAAAATAAATAGTTTCATTCCAAGTATGGTATATAGGATATTATGTACATATATTGGCAGATTGGCAAACATGGTGAAGGATGCATGATGTAAAAATTTAATACATATTTTATTAAAATAATGTTCGAATTGCACACTTAAACCCCAATGCAGACACATGCTTATAAAAACAGGCATCTCAAACCATTTGATAAGTCTTGAAAATATTTTTGCTAGTCCTGTAGTAATAAATATTTCAAGGTTAAACTATTGTTGTTTCATTTTTCATTAGCTGATTTGTATCTGGTCTCAAGAATTTTGGTTTTAAACTTTGTTGCAAATATAATACTACAGCTAAACTTTAATACTGATCTCCATTATACCCATTATATACTTAACACACTGAGCAAATCATTACGTGGATTTGCCTCTTATTTCCATTACGTTCAGCTGAATTTAAAAATTATAACATGCAGACTTGCAAATTATTACATGTGCTGAACCATTAAAGTTGTTTCATACTTAAATGATTATACATGTATATTAACAAGTCATTTGGTGAATTCACAGAAATGTTTTGATGTAGTCGGTTGATTTGAGATTCCCTCTTAAGTAAAGTAAATGAAATGATCAAAAGAAGCAAAGAAATATGTTCAAATACTTGATTAATTGCCACAATTCTAAACCCCTAGGACTTGCCTCTGGTTTCTATTATGTTGGTTTTATATATTTTGTAATTCAACACATTAATATGCAATGTCATGGTCATGAGGAAAAGTTTGCTACAAATAAGTAATTAATGGCATTGTTTAAAATGAAATAAAATGTTTTAAAGGATAAATAACATATATTTCCAACCGATCTAATGATCTGAAATCACGTGATCTGAAATCACGCTAAAATGAAATTCTCTAAAATCAAAGCATGAATTTCTGTATTAAATTTTATATATTTTGGGTTTGAAGACTAAATATATCAATATATGTTGAACACAAATTAGAAGACGACAAAACTACTGATAAGGTGGAAATTGTATGATTGAAACATATCTAAGTCATTCATTTGACGTGTTCTTATATGTTTCCGACAACTATTGTCAATTCTTAACCCTCTAACCTGTCTCGGTGGGTCAGGTTAAAAAACCATCATTTAATCATTTATTTTGAGACCATTTACAGAGTAGTAAATGAAAAATTCAAAATAAAGAAAAGAAAATTTTGCGTGTAACTCTCTTTTACATTGAAAAGAACAAAACACGAAACATTTAAAACAAGAGATTTATGTTTGCTATTTGAAATCTTTAAATTGGCCTTTCTGACTGATACAATGGAATGTAACTGTTTATCTTTGGTCATATTACACTTATAAGTGTCATTTTTGAGATGCTTTGGTAAAAAAAAATGTTTTTAAAAAGAAACTGCAACAGAAAACAGATAATAACTGGTCACAAAAGCTCACCATGTACAACATTTGCACAATTGAGCTTGTATAATCAACTTAACATCTGCTGCTTTGTATGTCTATATGGGAGATGTGATATGGTTTAATGACAAAAGCCTATCTGTTTACTTTTGTAATGCCATATATTCTGAATCAAACGACCCCATGGCCCAAAATAAAGTATTTATTGGATCGGGTGTTTAAAAGAGAGCACAAAGTGATAATCAGAAGTCTTAAATTCTTAAATTGATAGCTTGCAATCAATTACTTAATATACACGTCTTTACATACCTTTTTTGACCCCCCCCCCCCAAATTTTTGTCTCAATAAGTGAAACAACATTTTTAGGCCCCCAACATTCAAGATAGATATCTTCGTCCAAAATCATTGAACCATGGTCAAATTCAAACTTGAACTGCTTATTCCTAAAATGTATCTATATGATCAATTTTAGTTGAATGTGTAGAACCATTTGGAATATAATGAACGAAAATTAAAAATGTCTGGGTTTTTCTTCAAAGTTCAAGAGGGATCAATCTGTCAGCTATCATCAACCACGCCCAAATTCGAACTTGACCAGTGTATTCTCATGACATGTCCATATTTTAAATTTGAGTTGAACATGTTTAACTGTTGGGGAGATAATGAATTGAAACTGATAATTTCCAATTTTTTTTTAAAGAAAAGGGGCATTTCTTTGCCAAAAATTAATTAAACGACGACCAAATTCGAACTTGACCTGCAAATTCCTTTGACATATCCATATTTCAAATTTGAGGTGAATGTGTACAACTGTTGGGGAGACAATGAACGAAAACTGAAAAAGTCATTTTATTTTCAAAGTGAAAGGGACATAACTCTGCCAAAAACCATCGAACCATGACAAAATAAGACTTGACCTGCATATTCCTTTGACGTATTCATATGTCAAATTTGATTTGAATGTTAACATTTTTTTGGAGATAATGAACATAAACTGAAAATTTCATATCATTTTCAAAGTGCAAGGGACATAACTCTGCCAAAAGTCATTGAACCATGATTAAATTCGAACTTGACCTAAGCATTCCTTAACCGTATCCATATGTCAAATTTGAGTTGAATGTTTAATACCGTTGGGGAGATAATAAATGGAAACTGAACATTTCATATTATTTTAAAGTGAAAGGGACATAACTCTGCAAAAAATCACAGAACCATTACCAAATTCTAACTTATCCTGCACAATCTTTGATGTATCCATATGTCAAATTTGAGCTGAATGTGTATACCATTTGGGAGATAATGAATGGAAATTGACAATTTCATATTATTTTCAAAGTGAAAGGGACATAACTCTGCCAAAATTCATAGACCAATGACTAAATTCGAACCTGACCTGACGAATCCATATGTAAAATTTGAGATAGATGAGTAAAAATGTTGGGGGGATAACGGAAACTGAAAATTTTATCAAGGGGCATAAATCTGCCAAAAATCATCGGACCATGACACAGAGCTCCAGATAGCATGCGCATCAGCGTGATATACGCATAGAAAATCTTCAAATATGCATCACTTTCATAATTCATGCGACAAACTTACGCACAACAAAATAAAAATACGCTTGCGTGTCAAAACACAAGCTTGACAAATTGAAGTGTAAACATTTGATATTTAAAGAGGGGGTGTTCTGAGCATAAAAATACAATATATTTCTATTCTATTGTATTTGTATTAAAAACTAAAAAATTATGTTGTCAACAACAAATGTTAACAAGAGCCGGTTTAACCTGGAGATGCTCCCCGAATAGGTTTTGGACACAGGAAGGTATACTTCTTGTAGTGTCAGAGTTATGTCACAGACAAAGTTCAAAGTGTAAAAACAACCAAAATGTTGCCCGTGACACGCCATCTCAATATGGTGATCATTTCTGTGAAATAATTGCAAAATCCGACTTCAAATAACAAAGTTATGGGCCGGTCATGTGACCTTCTAGGTTACAGCGGCCAAACTATTGCGAAAAACATGTCATCTCAATATGGTGATCATTTCTGTGAACTAGTTTTAAAATCCCAATTCAAATAAAGTAATGGGCCGGATACGATTTTGCTGTAGGTCATGCTGTGACCTTGATCTTCAAGGTAGCGACCCAAATGTTGCATGCAACATGTCGTCTTAATATGATGATTATGTTTGTGAAAGAGTTGTAAAATCCGACTTCAATTAACGAAGTTATTAGCCGGACACGATTTTGATGCAAGGCCATACTGTGACCTTGACCTTTAAGGTAGCAACCCAAATGATGCCCCTGACATCACCATGCATTAGTTTTTATTATATCTAATTAATTTAACCAATCAACAATCTGCATTTGTACCTTGTGACCGTTCAATATATTCTCGTATTGGATCCAATTTTTTTTTCATATTGAACATACGCACTAAGACTGTGCATATAATATTTTGATGTGATGTCATTTGCGTTATATTAACATAGTGTTAAGATGCGCTTAATGTCAGCGATATACTATTTTCATTGAGCAGTATTTTTTTTCCAATTTTCAAAATAACCTGTGGCTTTCTGCAGGAGAAAATATAACGTGATAAATCAGAAAAGGGGTAATTCAAATTCCAACGACTCAGATTGGAATTAACCCGATTTACCAACACATTTTATAAGACTTTTAATTTCATTTCAATTGAACATGCATGGTACATAGCAGGCTTTCTGTCTTCTAGCTGATATGATAAGTCAGATGCTGTTAAGTAATGGTTCTGGTAAAGAAGTGCTCAGGGCATTACAGGGGAAAATATACCTATTTTGAGCTATGGGAAACAGCCTCTATTTGGCTGTAAAATACAGGGAAAAAATCACTGATAAGATAATTGAGATAATGGGTTTCAATGTTATTTTTTTTCTGATTCATTGTTATATAATTATTATGTTTATTAAACAGAAATAAATTATAAAATAAATTTTAACAATGTATAATTTGTTTAGACAATGTAATATGTCATTTTCTGAAATCAAAGAAAATGATATATAAATAAATACAAATAGTTGGGTTATATTCATAGGTTATTGGACATTTTACTGTACAATACGGAAACATATTACGCCTATCGTCCAATATGACTTTTCAGGCTGTGAACAAATGTACTTGTCCAAATATATTCCTGTATTGTACAGTAAAATGTACATTGACCTATGAATATTACCCAACTAGCAAAAAGAATCTTATGTAAGAATTTCGTATCGGAAAACATTTACATTCTTATAATCAAAGCACAGAAGGTGCTGAATTTGTTTGGGTCTCAGAATATCAGAAATGTGAAGGTTGTGAGATTATAAAACAACTTAATTTTTTGTATAGTGCCACCAATGCTTTCCAGCGTTTTAATTGTAGTAGATTGGATATAAGACTATTTGCAACTCTGATATTCAATCCAATGTTTATTTGACTTAAGTAATACGAAAAAAAAATGAGTTGCCTTAACTAGGATTTGAACTCCAGACCTCTCGCTTACTAAGCGAGCGCGCAAACCCCTCGGCCACGGTGAATTTATATATTAACGGTCTGAAGAAAACCATATTAT